TAAAACCATGTTGGGTTTTTTGTGAGGACTGACAAAGCACCAGAATAATTTTTTTGGTTATGATATCGCTAACTTAAGATATTTGTAATTGAAAATCAAAGATATGCTAAAATCCACTGAGATGTATAGTTTCCTTTGCTCCTCAGTATATATTTGGAATGCAACACAGCGGTGTAGCTACTACGTGGAACAGCAAGCGCTTTCACTTACACTGGACGACCCAGTGTGGAAATTGTCGTTTATGAGTTGACTCGATATCGTTGTGTTTATTTGTTCCATTAGTTTTTAGGATATATGGGTTTGATCACAATGATCAAACTGGGATTTTATCAAAGAAGTTATTCATTTTCCCATTTTTCGTAAGAGGCGACAAACGGGATCGGGGGTCAGGCTCGCTGGCTGAGGCGTGTCATCGTATCACATTTGCGTAGATCGATGCAGAACAAGCTGGAGTTACGGAAAGGTGCTAGGATTATTAATCAGTTTTATAATGATATATACAAATAATAAAACTATTTATAAACAAAATTAACAGGAAAATGACGAACTTATTAACAGAAGTTTCAATACAAGAAAACAACATGCATATTCCAGAGACACCCATACTGTGATTATAAACAGTAAATATTGCGCCCTGTGCGCATAACAATTATGAATGGACGCAAATAATATTCATTGGACACACATGAATATGGATGTAGGGATGGTTAAATGGACACTATAAGTTTAATTTGTATGATATTTCTGTTTTGATAAGAAATACAGCCAATGTTCGGGCATTCCATGTCAGATTTCTTTAGAGGAGGAATTTCCAAATTTGACGCATCAGTGACAGACATGATGGCCGATGCAATTGCCTATTTTGACTTGTACCATATGTTCCCGTGTTTTGTTTTGTTTTAAAAATTGACCTGTATTTGCATGTGTTTGTGACGGGTGTCACCGGTGGGGCAGGATACGCTCCCCTTTTCGCGAACACCTAATATATTTACTATGTGACAGTGATTCATAAACACATGCTCATGCAGAGCTCCAGATAAGCTGCGTATCTGCGTGAAATACGCATCAGAAATACGCAGTAAAAAATAATCCAAGCGTATCAAATACGCAACGAACATTACAAATACGCTACAAAAACAGATGTTTTGCGTATCATCAAAATATTGTGAAGTAACCCTGCGAATTCGATTAGCAAATCAGCAACTTATTTTGAAATTATAAACGGGCATTCCGTCAACCTTGCCAAACTCCACGATGACAGTCACATCATGATCATTTGCCATCACACTTTCTTGTGGAAGTATCGTGGTATTTTTGAGTCCTATAAAGCTCTCAAACCCACACGACACCAGTTTGCAGGGACTAGATGAATAGTGTTTTTAAATATTTAACTTAAATACCCACATGTGTAAAAACTAGTGGGTAACAGAAATTTGAATACGCAGATAGAATTACTGATACCCAGTGATTTTAAAATGCATGGGTAAAATACCCACAACACCAAATGCTTATCTGGAGCTCTGTCATGATATAGTTGGAGTCGTACAACGACTCTGCTTTATGCAGAGGTGTATATTGGATATGGAAAGGGTTTTGTCGCTTTATTTACTTAGTAATAAAATTTCGTTTCAATCAAGAAAATCCCCTTTCTGAAAGAAGCAAAAGGCCTCACAAATAATTTGTATGCTTTTTTGCTGTTGGTACAGTGGTCACTAAGCTGGTACCCGATTATATTCCTGGGACCACCCAAATTCATTACCGAGTCCCCAGGACTCGCAATTACATAGGCCTCGGTAAGTCCCTGGGATACCATTGCTGGGATGATCGATCAAAGTCACTGTCGTTCTGCAGTCAACGTTCATCGCGTCAGAGTATTGATACATATGGATGCACGTTCCCGTGTTTTTTCTTCAGGTGAACAATTGACTTGCTTTTGAATGCGCTTGTTACGGGTGCCACCGGTGGGGCAGGATACGATCACCTTTACGCGAACACCTGGTATCTTTACTATTTAATAGGGGGTCATAAAGACAAAATCATGATATAGTTGGACTCGTACATTGGAATCTGCTTGCAGCAGAGAATTCTTATGAATATGGAAAGGGTTTTATCGCTTTTATTTATTATTAATACGTAAAGGCTATGAGTCGAATGCTTTGTTTGTTTGTTGTTTAACGCCGCACTCAGCAATATTCCAGCTATATGACGGCGGTCTGTAAATAATCGAGTCTGAACCAGAAAATCCAGTGATTGACATCATGAGCAACGATCCACGTAATTGGGATACAATGACATGCATCAACCAAGTCAGCGAGCCTGACCACCCGATCACGTTAGTCGCCTCTTACGACAAGTATAGTCGCCTTTTACGGCAAGCATGGGTTGCTGAAGACCTATTCTACCCCGGATCTTCACGGGTCTCAGGTAAGGTAGTGAGGTAGTGAGTCAATCAGCTCTATCATTTGAACAGGAGGCGTGAACCGAGACATGAAACAATGAAACATTCCATTTATACACACAATAATAAAAATCACATTAAGAGGAGGTGCCACGGAGTCTTGCCTACAGTAAAGTTATACATGAATTTGTACAGAAACACTACGTACTCACTGTTAATTACCTTTGACAGTTTACATATAAAATTATTGTTAATATCGAACATGTTAAAAACATGATAGCCAAGCAGGTCTCAGACGTTTACCACTTCGGTGAAACACACGAGCACGGGTATGGTGCTGACAAACCTAGAAACAGAATCGGGTCGAACAATCCACAATCATAGGTTTCTGGCGTGCCCAAGGGACGCAACTCTGCACAGCGAGAAAGCCTGTAATGTCATTGGTTAATGACGCATTTCCGGAACTACATTTTCCCATTCATCATGTTCATTCATCTTTTTCGACAAACACAGCTCTGCCATACGAGATTTGTCATTTACAACATAAAACGTTCTTAAACCTATAATTTGTATTCATTCAAATGAGATATCGTTCACGCATGCTGTTCGATAATTAAATACACGAAACATAGAAACTAATTAAGATTCGTAGATTAGATTTGATTGAATAAATCGTCTGCCATACCTGCATGTAAACAACAATGGCGACATTGTTTGTCCCCGATACAAGTAAACGATCTTGTGAAGATTGACGGAAAATTGGTTGGACGTGCAGTGAACATCATACAGCCATTGAACAGTTTCAACGTCTTTGTGGTGAAAACTGACATGGGTGAGCGACAAGTCCCTCGTCATAGACTAGGCGTGATTCCTGAAACCGTGACTTCAATGACTGCCACGCCCCATGATTGTCTAAATCATTAATGGATGACTTGATGGATAATGGTTTTTTGGATCGCCCGAATAACGTCGCTGATGTTCCAAAACAAGCAGAAAGATGTGTTGATGTACATAATGGCGACGTTGACAAATGCCTGGCAGAAAATGAAAATGCAAACACCCTAAAAAATCTATGCTCAACATTCGAGTTGTCAAACAGTTTCTTTCAGATAAGCTGAATGAGAAACGCCCAATCGAAGTTATCCCTCCCACTGAATTAAACACATGTGCCAGTCTTTCATTGGTGTTAGGAAACAGGATGGTTCCGAGTACAAAACAAGCTCACTCATTGGATTCAGGGGCAGTTTAGATCGTCACTTAAAACGCAAAGATTATGGCTTCTCACCTTCAGACTCAATTGTATTTTCCAAAATGAGGGATGTCATCAAGTAAAAAACAAAATCACTGAAAAACAGGAAAAAGGTAACCTAACTTACAGAGCGGAAGCTATTTCCAAAAGTGAAAAAACAAGAACTCTGAGATGCAGACCGGCTTGGCACTAACACACCTGAATCCATATTAAACACTCAATGGTGGAGCAATACTTTTCTTTCGGTCTACGGTCAAAAACTCCGCACAGAAGAATGACTTGCGGGGTGTTCAGTTGAAACGAGATTCTGATAATCATGAGTTCCTCGAGTATGTTGAACGGCAATCCAAAACCAGAACCGGATACGACCCCACGGGTGTTCGTGCTGTGCCACCCAGGGCCTGGGCCAAACCCGACGACCCCTCGTGTTGTCCACTCAACGTGTATAAGGTGTTCCCAGCAAGGTGTTCCTTGAGACCCAGCAATTTTTCGGGGAGGGAATATCCATTCTTTCCCACAACAAACACAAGAGGGCGTCCCAAATCTGGAGAATCCTGGTTCAAAAGGCAGCCAGTTGGGAAAAACAAACTTGGTGCACTTAGAAATTATACCAGTGTAAAATACATTCAATATTGTTCCAATATGTTATGTAAATATTAGCGTTTTCTGATATTATTATTAACTAAATAAAAATAGAATTAGAACATTCATAAAGGTTTCATTACCTACACATATCAACAAGCAATTAAATCTTGTAGACGTTCACTAATGAAAAACATGGCTTCCAAAGCCAACCTTTCATCCGCCAAACGCATTAGTAACGGAAGGAGGAAGGGTAGCGACGTTTCTGACATCAACGTTTCTGACATCAACGTTTCGGCATCAGCTTTAGGCGTGGAAGATGAAGATGATCATTACAGGGAACTGTGTGATTACTTTTTGATGTAAAAGTAATTACAATAGAAATAGAAAATAATATAATCTAAAAAATTCAAAATTATACAGTAATGGTGACAAAAGTAGAATAAATGTTACCAAAAATAAAGCATAAATACTCTATCATAAATCGTTTTTATCTTTAATATAAATAAAATATAAGAAAGGTGCCGTTTTCGCCAGAAAAAAATCGGGGACGTTTTTGTTAAGGTGCTGTTTTAGACTGCGGCCCTACATCACACCTCTCTGAAAGTTTTAGCTGACCCCGTCCCAAGAGTATGCTCTTCTACCTTCAAAATGTATTGCATCGTGTTAAATCAGATATAGAGCTCTTATATCGTTTATACCATTCTTACATGTGTGTGATTTCACAAGACTGACTTTTGAAGTAAACGAATGATCCCTCGCCGGATGTCGCTTTTGGTGCAATAACCCCTCCTCGTGCACTTCCGTTTACTGGCACGTGAAGTTTGCCGGCAGAATATTAGGATTACGAAGTGGTCAAGTCGTAGATTTAGAATGGAAACTTGGGTCTCGGTTGCTGGATTTGGTGGAGGTGGTGTTCTCGCTGCAGCATGTGCCTACAAAATACTTAGGTGCGGTTTGTTTCGAAATTGACAGCAAAAACACGTCTGGTTATCGAATTTCCCGCCTCGGTGTTTGTAAAATTCTGTGACGTATTTTCCACTAGACAAGGTTCTCGTCGCCGAAAGCGGCACATTTACCGCCCTCCGCTTCCAACAGCTTCGTTACCCCAATCAGCGTTTAACGCGAACTAATTCCCGACATTTCTATCAGGAAACGTTCAAATATTAGCGATTAGTGTGGTAGGATGTGTGTATAAAATGTATACACACACCCTATTATAACTATGAGCCATACTAATCGCTAAAATTCAGACGTTTCATAGTTGGTGGTGTTCCTTTCTAGTAGTGGGTGCAAGTCAAAAACAAAGCAGTGTGTTTAATCACGACAACAGTTTTCTCTGGTTAAAACAGAAGAGTGAAGTATTAGATTGAAACCAAAGACGGCATCTTGACTCGTACATACAAAGTATGCATGGATCACATAGAACCTGGCATAGAGGCTTGCCAGATTACACGACATATCTCACCAATTGTCTTAGAAAACATCTCAACAATATGTGAAGTCTGAACCCAGTTGACTGATTTACATGTGACTCTCTTTGAAATGGTCGATTGGTTGGGGCTGTGTTTCATACTAATTATAATGGGTGGAATCCACAACCTAATTAAGGCATGCTCAAAGCACTACATTAGTATCCGGATCAATGGACCCGTGTGCACTTGATTTTCATTCTCAGCTCCCTGGGGAGTATACAACCCAAGCTGCCTGTGAGGAGCTAGAAGGTTAACAGTCACCTACATCTGATCCTACTTGGTACCCATGCACTGCTGGGTGATCAGAAGCACATTCCGAACAAAGTCTCTTGCCTAAGGAGACACCACATGTGTTACATGTGCTTCAGTGTGGGGCAGGACGAAGCCCAGAAACCCACAGGAGTCGAGCTGCCGTACTTGGTCATTCATCCATCTTCTTTCTGCCTCTAACTTTGCCGAATTTGTGACCTGTGCGTTGTGCACTCTCCCTTGTACCACCATTTCATTTGTAATTTTGTCTCTTTCAAAACTAAGTGTTTTTTTTATAAACTCGCTAGTGATTAGGTGTGGATAAGTTTAATGGCTTCATTGGTGTCATCTAGTCTCAGTTGCCCTGACAGTAAATGGTTGATTTGTTGATAGATTGCTGATGAGTTGTGTTTACATTCGGAGTGTGACGAAATATCGATATGCTGCAGTTGTTTGCCCTAAACTTGTACCTAAAGATGCTGATGATATACATAGAATGCATAATAGTGGTGGGACGATGCATCTGTGGATCACGGTTCTTTACTTCTTGATACAAGTGTCAATCATGGTCGCACTCTAAGTACAAAATATCGATTATCACCTTAAATGTTTGCTTTGAAAAACTAACACCAACCCTAATAGGTAGTGAAAGTTAATAGTGATACGTCCATTGTGCCATACTTGAGACTGCCAACTGTAAATCATCAGTGTGCCAGGTATTTGGCATAACTGTCTATGAAAAAGATGGCTTACGGAGCACAGATAAGAGCACATGCAAGTATCGTGATACGTGTGTAAGGTACCATGATACATATTGGATCACACAGTGGGTGTAGTCTCCCAGCTCTAATGAATAACAATGAACAGTTTCAAGAATTTCAATGTTATAAATAAAACCTTAATGATGTGCAGAATTTCCAACTTGTGTTTTGTTGATAATGATACCAAGGATTACGGCAGCTTCAGACTAGAGTTACTTCCCTTTAGTTTGAGTAGTGACAGAGAGGGTTATAGACGACTTTGCTTTTACATTGTCGGTAATACTTCAGTCAGCATGTTCAGTTCTATTCCATTGTTTATAGAAATTAAGAAGCCCTAAATTTTCTTTCATACGATCACGATACTGTTTGAGAAGAAGATCACATAATATTATAAATAATGATTAATTTATAAAGCACCTAGCTCAATGGTGCTGGTACCAAGGGGACTAAAAGAGTTTTAGTGTCTAAGGCACATATGCTTCCTCAAATGACCCGTGAAGACCCTGGGTAGAAAAGGCCTTCAGCAACCCATAATTGTCGTAAAAAGCGACTATGCTTGCGTAGGAGGCGACTTACGGCATCAGGTGGTCAGGCTCGATGAGTTGGTTGATGCATGTCATCGTATCCCAATTGCATGGATCGATGCTCATGTTTTCAATCACTGGATTGTCTGGTCCAGACTCTATTATTTACAGAACGCCGTTTGATGTGACCAGCTGATTTGGTTCTCGTGATAATGAGTGTAGTGGTGTTCTGCGACTGATGCAGTGTGGTTCGCAATGGTTCTTTGATGTAACAGAACTAAGTTTGTGTGTGATGCACAATAAGTAATTTATCATGAGTGTACGTCGTGTACGTACCATGTGTGGAAACACGTATGTATGTTTAGGTATTTATACATGCGTGAATGTATATCATGTGTGTCAACATGCTAATTAATGACTATAAAGCTGAAAGAATCATTTTACTTTTTAATCTGACGTCACTTGTCCGTTTTGACTGGACAAGGCAGTTATGATGAAGTCATCTGATACGTTATGGCGCTGGTCAGATGTCTGTTATTGTTCTTCTGTCACCGCTCTTAATTCCTTGTTTTCCCAGACCCCGATTCCCGGTGCGTGTGAACTGCTGGTTCTGCAATGGTGACACAGTGGTGCCCTACGGGAACCGCAACTGCTGGGACTGTCCCGGCTGTGAGCAGTACAACGGCTTTGATAAAGTAAGTGTACTCCATGAAAACTGTAAATCTTGAAATTAATGCATCTCCAAATTAATATGACTGCTGACCCCTAGCCAAAAATGCACTCAATATCAATGCGACTCATTCCCTGTGGAATGATATATATCCTCACCTTGAACCAACCTTACCTAATCTAATCAAACAGCTAATAGCACCGCTTATTAGTTTAGTTAATTAATAATGTTAATTAGTCAATGCGAGCACAGACCACTCATATTTTTCACATTTAATTCACGTTCGCATTAATCTAGTGGTTAAAGCGTTTGTTCCGTCATGCCGAAGACCCCAGTTGGATTCCCAACATAGGTACAATGTGTGAAGCCCATTTCTAGTGTCCTCGGCCGTGATACTGCTGGAATATTGCTAAAAGCGCATAAAACCATACTCGCTCCTTCACTCACAGCACAAGTTGTTTTCAATATTGTTTTATTTATATATCTTTTTTTTTTTTAAACATTTGTCCCGTTTGGTGAGTGAGTGAGTTAAAATTTAACATTGCATTGTCGTTCCCATTCCAGGGTACACCAAAGTATGGTCCCCCCCCCTAACTACTCACTCACTCATCCACCCAACCACTCACCCCAACCAACCACTCACTCACTCCTCCCAACCAACCACTCACTCCTCCCAACCACTCACTCACTCCTCCCAACCACTCACTCACTCCTCCCAGCCACTCACTCACTCCTCCCAGCCAACCACTCACTCACTCACTCACTCACTCACTTTACTGTTGTAGGCAGGAGACTACAACAAGGACATACCGGCCCAGCACATGTCGGACCTGAACCACGGGATTGGTTGTAGCCCGGAGGAGTATCTGGGCAGCTCCTCAGCTCTCTGTAACGGATGTGAAGAGAACCAGCTGCTCAAGGTCAAACAGCTGGCCAGCTTCGTGCCCATGAATGAGGTAGGAAGGGGATTCTGTGAAAGTGCCGTGGCCATGGTTGTAATCGGTGGTACAAGGTCAGTTGCGGCCTCTTTTCTACAAGCCCACTTTTGATTTTACCTGACGAGACATGGCATTAAACCCAACTAGCTACTGTATTAAGGTGACTCTGCATGTTGTAAGAGGCGACTAAAGGGATCGGGGGATCAGGCTCGCTGACTTGGTTGATACATGTCATCGATCCCATTTGAGTGGATCGATGCTCATGATGTCAATCACTGGATTGTCTGGTCCCGATTCGATTATTTACAGACTGCTGTCATATAGCTGGAATATTTCTGAGTGCGGCGTTAAACAACAAACAAACACTCCTGTAATAAAATATCTACTATGTTGCTCGAGGAACGCCTCAATGGTCTTGTGGTAGAGCGTCCGCTCAGAGGGTGGAAGGCCCAGGTTTGATCCCCGCACATCATACCAAAAGACATTAAAGGATGGTAACTGTTGTTACCCTGCCTGGTGCTCGGCATTAAGGGGCTAAAACAAGGACTGGTCGGCTCGGAGTCAGTATAGTGTGTCTGAGTGGGGTATTCATGTTAAACTGCGGCATGGTATCTCAGTGGGCATCAGTACGGACTAGTACAAGCGGACACACACACACACATTTCACCTCTCCTGAAATTCTTGTCATCATCGTACGTAAACTGAGACCCATGATGATCCGGTGTAGGATAGGTCTTCAGCAACCTATACTTGCCATATAAGGCCAGACTATGCTTGTCATAAGAGGCGACTCTGGTCACTGGATTGTCTGGTCCGGACTTGATTATTTACAGTCATAAAGCTGGAATATTGCTGAGTGCGGCGATAAACAAACACAAACAACCTGAAGCAGGACATAAATCGTGTATTCTGTGTTCAGGACAACTATGACGTTGAGATCGACGCCTACAAGGACCACCTGGAGAGGGTTTATGAACTCTGTGACCCCTGCAAGGTCACCGTGGAGCATGAGTTGATGAAGCAGGATGATGCTCTCAGGGCCAAGCTTCACGCCAATACCTCCGACACGTCCAACACATCACAGACGACGCACATGGTCAGTTGAAATTACATTACACGTTGGTCAATATGGTCAAGTCAGATTAAAGATGTATTGAATCAGCCCCTCGGAGCCAGAGTGTATGTTTTAGCTTGTCATGTCAGTCCTTGATTACATTAGTTTACAGCTCCCCTGTCGTAACTCCCGTCAACAACTCCACTGTTCTATCTCCCCTGAGTGAAAGTCAAGTGAGATTATATCAAGGCCTACTTGTCCAGTGTCTGTCGGCATCTGTTGACATCTTCTCAGAAAGCCCTGACACACTGAAGCTGAAATGTCACCATGTTAAGCAATCTCATTAAAATCAGATCTTAGTTCTCGCTATCGCTAAACAAAGATCTGAGGACATCCCATAATGGGTCACGTCAGAACGACCTTTCGTGAACTTTGACCTACCAATGAAATGACTGACAAGAAATCGACATTAGCCAATCAGAAGGCAGGTTTCTCGAGCTTTACGACACTAGTTTCAAACTGGCGAATACACTTCAAAACGTATTTTGACGTATTCTCGATTAAAAATTTTAAAACTGATAAAAAGAACATTCTGGAATGGCTTATAGATGGTCTAGATTGTATGGGTAGAATCAGAAAACCTGTAACTGTCGTTCGGAATACCCTCTGTTAAATGTTTCGAGGTTGCATGATTTGAAAACACATTCCATCCGTCACTCGAAGGGAAAACTTCAGCCATTTTTGTTCAAAATGTGATGAAATTTGGTATGTGTGTAGTTTTTAGTGGGACTCAACACGTTCTGTTGTTGTGGTGTTATAATTTCTAATCTTTGACATTTGCACTGTAGACCATGCTCCTAAATTCTGACACTGTATTGCCATTTTCTGTAGGTGCGGTCAGGTCGCCAAAAATGACTTCCCCCTCATTCCCAGTGGAATGATATATATCCTCACCTTGAACCAACCTTACCTAATCTAATCAAACAGCAAATAGCACCATTTATTAGTTTACTTAATCAATAATGTTAATTAGTCAATGCGAGCACAGACCACTCATATTTTTTGCATTTAATCAACGTTCGCGTTAATTTCAAGAGTTACAATATCAGCCTGCTAGTCAGGTGGCCACTGTTGATGCAAGTGGGGTACTAGGGGCGGTCGGGTAGCCTAGTGGTTAAAGTATTTGCACGTCACGCCGAAGACCCGGGTTCGATTCCTGACATGGTCACAATGTTTGAAGCCCATTTCTGGTGCCCCTGCCGTGATATTGCTGGAATATTGCTAAAAGCGCTGTACTCACTCACTCATTTACTGTAAACTTCATCTCCCCAGATGAACACGTGACGAAGGAGCTGGAACTTGACATGCTTGTCTTAACCAGTGATGACAAATGCCATTCTTGAAACTATAACAACCATAAATGTGGAAACTGGTTTCCTTGTATGACATCAAAGGACGCACAGTATACACACGCACGCAGAACATGCAGAAGAAGGGGCATAACTGTGCTAGAACTGTAACTCGGCTGCCCTGGTGATAATGTGATGTGGATCACAACATACTTATACACTTATACACTTATACACTTACCTCACACTATGCATTTCTTTCTTTCTATTCCTATGTGGAAACATGCTTGAACAAAGTTTCCCGGTTCTAAAAACAATTCACCCGAACACATCCCAGCATCACCATGGTCACCACCCAAACAAATGGGTCACACACTGTAATCCTGTGCATATATAAATGTAAATATAAATAAAACAAAAATTTAAAAATGACATAATTCGTCACATTATCATGATTATTGGTGTTCCAGTCACTAAGTCCCCACAACTTCGCAATGGTTTCACATGGGTTTCACATGGGTTTCACATGGGTTTCATGTGGTTATCATCTAAGCTTCATTCCCACATCTGGGCATTCGGGTAGCCTAGTGGTTAAAGCATTAGCTCGTCACGCCAAAGACCAGGGTTCGATTCCCCACATGGGTACATTGTGTGAAGCCCAATTGTGTTGTCCCCTGCCTTGATATTGCTGGAATATTGCTTAAAGTGGTGTAAAACCAAACTTACTCACTCACTCACTCCCACCACATGAAACTGACATGCCGTGCTATGACTGAATTTCTGATCAAAGTGGCTTTGAATCTAGGCTCCCCTACTCCTGTTCATAACATTAACACTGACATTCTACACTTTCAGGATGGTATGTCAGAGCTATCCTCATCAACGTACGGCAACGCGGGTGATCTCCTCGGTTTGACCTCTCTGCTGTGTGCGTGTTTGGTGCTGGCCTATAGCCTGGCCCAGTATCCCAGCATGCTCTCTGACGTGTGGCCGTTGTTGACGTTTGCGGAGACGATGCGGCCCTACCAGCAGGCCCTCCATTACACCGGCCTCGGTCTGTGCCTCATGTCCAAGATTCTCATCGGGAAGGACAGGTCTGTGTTGCTGGTTGTCATGACGACTTGGGATTCCATCCCATGGGGATTGGTCAGAATTGTCCTCAGCATGCTGGTTGTATTAGGGTGTCGTCAATGGCGTGTCCACATATATGATAGCATTAATCCATGATCACATCACTCACTGGATTGTCTGACCTGTGAAGATCTGGGTAGAATAGGTCTTCAGCAACCCATGTTTGCCGTAAAAGGGGACTATGCTTGACGTATGAGGTGCCAAACAGACTTGGTTGATGCATGTCATCGATCCCAATTGCGTGGATCAATGCTCATGTTGTCATTCACTGGATTGTCTTGTCGAGACTATTATTTACAAACCACCATCATATAGCTGGAATATTGCTGACTGTGGCGTTAAACAACAAACGGACAAACAAAACAAACAAACACTGGATTGTCTGGTCCACCATCAATTATTTTCAGGCCACCATCCTATAGCTCTAATATTGCGGAGTCAAATTTGCGATCTCAGGCTAAAAGAGGTCCCTTTAATGATCAGGAGGTCAAGCATGGTCTCTTGTCTGTTATTGTACCGTGGTGGTCCTGACCCGATTATTTACAGCCCGCTGTCATATAGCTGGGATATTGCTGAGTGTGGCGTTAAACATCAAAGAAATCATTACATCAATTCCTGCATCTGGTCCAGACCAGATGACTAATGACTGGAACGAGCTGACTGCATCATTAAACAGCAAAAATGCTGATTCAACAGATTATTGGAAATGCATTTGGGGCCAAAAATCATGGAATATGCTTGACAGAGATTTATCTGGATGTTTTCAGAGATCTGAAGTACATAAACAGTGATAATTACAAAATTATTTTTTTTGAAAAATAGGACTATGTTTACATGCTGTAATTATTGTCTGTACTAATTATCCAGCTGGCTTCCAGGTGTCCCTCGCTGTCACCTTTAAGAGCCAATTAACTGTTCAGTGTTGGTTTCCATTTGTCCACTGCTAACCATCTATAAGCACCAATTATCTGTTGGCTTCCCCTGTTAAGTTTCCACATTTGTTTTCTTATTACTTTTGTTGTTCTTACAGGTACATATATATTTTCACTTTTCTCCATTTTGGAACATAGCTTCCTAATTTCCTGTTAAGATTATTTCCTGTCCCAATATTTCTTAAGAAACTGTTTTGCCTATCACCATGATCACAACATAGTTGTTACTGCATTAAGGTGTTTACATTTTGGGGAGGAATGGTAGCTCTGTGGTTAAAGTGTTCGCTCATCATGCTGAAGGCCCAGGTTTGATTCCTCTTTCTCTGCCTGTTCTCATTCATTCACCTGATGGAGTAAGGAGTGAGTTGTGTTCCTCATAATAAAATAATTGACATCCATAATTCTCTTCTTTAGAAATATGTTTGGGGTCAAAGTAGGGTATGTTAGTGAGCCCTGCTTACTTTTTTCTTTGTTTACTAATGCTTGGAGAGAAGTTTGGACTTTTGCAGGCAATTTTAAAATGACAGGAGCATTTATCTTCATAAGAAGACAACCTTGATGCCTGTCTTTGAGCTGGTCCTATTGTTACCATGGCAACAGTTGACATTCTTGTGTTACAGACTGTTTCTGGTAGATGTGGTGGTGAGCGTCACCTGGATATTGTGTGCTGCTGTGGTCACAAGGGACATAACTCTGTTGTCACCTCGGCTCGTCGACGACAAGGTGCTGACGGTCCTGTTTGGTGTCAACTTGCTGATGTCTCTGGCCAGTTGTATCATCACCAGGACAAGGACCACGGCCACGACACAGACGTTCAAGAGGTGAGTCAGGGGTCATGCATGCTACAGGGACATTTAGGAGGTGAGACAAGGTCATGCTGGCCACAGGGACGTTTAGGAGGTGAGTTAAGGTCATGCTGGCCACAGGGACGTTTAGGAGGTGAGTTAAGGTCATGCTGGCCACAGGGACGTTTAGGAGGTGAGTCAAGGGTCATGCTGGCCACAGGGCGTTTAGGAGGTGTCAGGGGTCATGCATGCTACAGGGACGTTTAGGAGGTGAGTCAAGGGTCATGCTGGCCAGAGATGTCTATATGGCCCTAAATGAGTCCAGTTATTAAAAATGTGATATATTACTCACCTCCCTGTGCCCTTGATAATGTTTAAAATGTCAAAGTGAGTGTTTCATTAAAGAGCAGTGTTTCTGTTTTGAGAGCACAATCTCCAGTCTGGGGGATACAGTTCTTTACAATATATATGTGCAGGCTGTCGCTGGACAAGAGCACAGGCAGCTACCACAGTGAGGCGGAGACAGTCGCCATATCCTCAGTCAGCACCAGTCGGAGGGCACGACCTGACCCTGAGCCTGTGTCAAGGGTCAAAGAGGAACCTTTGGATGACCTTGACCTTGAGATGGAAGCATTCTCCCTTGGGTCAAAACCTACTCAGATGAAGAGAAGTGATTCAGGTAGAGGAAAAATAATTATAATGAAAAAGTATTGGTTATTACCTACTCGGAGATGCATGGACATTATAAGTTTGAAATACACTCATGATGAAAGGAGTATGAAAACGGCATTGTATGAATGCTTCCTTTGATTGAAATAGCTGTCAAGTTAACCTGAAACTGTCGCGGGGTCTGAGTGTCCAACTTCTATTAACTGCCATAGATTAGCGGAAATTAGTCTGCACGTTTGTGGCTGTTAAGAGACAAAGAAAAGGTTGTTACTGTTTTTGTTGTCTCAATGTCCACAAAGTAATCCATGCATAAATGTGTCACTGCTCACCATTGGCATAAAATACATGTATGCTGATTTTTTTCAGGACATTCTTCCATGTTTGCTTGAAGTTACTTCTCCGATGTATATTGATAATTGATCGATATTTAGTTAGTGATTATTGATCTCTATGATCTGTGTTGAGAGCCAGCCCTAATTATACACCTACTCCACAGGGATGTTTTCCATGACGGGCAGCCAGGCAAGTTTTACTTCACTGAGTGCCCTCCCCCGTCCACTGCTGGGGCAGCCTCGCCCCTTGATCAGCCCAGCCCGACTACGTGTGACCTCGTCCACGCCAACAGGTAGGAGACGAACTTGTGAGGTGAGGGTGGAGCTGGGGGGTGGGGGGTGAGGTGGGGGGTGAGGGTGGAGCTGGGGTGTGGGAGGTGGAGGTGAGGGTGGAGGTGGAGCTGGGGTGTGGGAGGTGGAGGTGGAGGTGGAGCTGGGGGGGTGGGAGGTGAGGGTGGAGGTGTAGCTGGGAGGTGAGGGTGGGGTGGGAGGTGGGGGTGGAGCTGGGGTGTGGGAGGTGAGGGTGGAGGTGGAGCTGGGGTGTGGGAGGTGGAGGTGGAGGTGGAGCTGGGGGGGTGGGAGGTGAGGGTGGAGGTGTAGCTGGGAGGTGAGGGTGGGGTGGGAGGTGGGGGTGGAGCTGGGGTGTGGGAGGTGAGGGTGGAGGTGGAGCTGGGGTGTGGGAGCTGAGGTGGGGGGTGTGGGAGGTGAGGGTGGCAGTGGAGCTGCGGGGATGGGGGGTCTCCTGACTCTTTGTTTATAGGTACTACTCAAAGTAAGTTAAGGATAAGCAGATTATTTCATATTGCTATAGTTTGTCTATTATGTCCTTTTGTTTAATAGTAAAGCTGGCATATCAGGAATTTACCTGAATCTATCCAAGGCAGTCAGTTATAATTGAGGGGCATGCGTGGCACAGTCACCTAAGGCACTGTGCAGACTTACATCCCTTTGGAACCTATGATTGTGGGTTTGAATCCTGGTTTGCCCAGATTATATTTCTAGGTTTGTCAGCACCATACCTGTGCTCGTGGGTTTCACCGAAGTGGTAAACGTCAGAGACCTGCATCCCTTGGGCTTTCCTCCCACATTAAGCTGACACGCCGTGATATAACTTGAAAATGTTAAAAGCGGCGAGTAAGAATTGCTGGGTGTCCAAGGCATTAACATGGGTTCCCAGACTGGCTCCACTGATGTTGTGTCACTGCATGTACTTACAGTTCTTTACTTTGTTGTAGAGGATGTTTTGAAAATCGAAGAAAATCGTCCTTTGACGCTAAAGTATGACTGTTTTCCGATCTAGAATAGAAATGTCAGCATGGATCATGTTCTTTATTAGGTTTAATGATTCAATCAGCCAGAAATAGTTGTGACTCTTGGCTTCCATTCACTAGTTGCATGCATGGAGGAAGCGTTATTGGGCATTTGGTAAAACACTGAATATGCGGACTGAAAAGGAAACTCAGGACATAAGTTAGTTTGGATTCCTACAAATTTGATAAATCAGAAATGTTACAATACTGTAAGGTTTCTTTCTCTGTTTGGCAGACATCTTTAACCGAACTTCAAGCGGACCAACCCTTCACATGAACCCAGCGTTTGATTCAAGAAGCAGACAGTCCCTGCAGTTTCCAAAACTCCCAAATCAAGCACCGGATAATCCCTTCCTGGAACAGAGCCTAACAACAGAGAGACTGTCTCTTTTCAACGCTCAGATCTCTGGTAACACAGCAGCACAACGTCCATGGCAGAGAAACAAGGACAGCGAGGCAAGCTCAACACGGCAGTTTGACGTCAGTGTGTCGGAGCAGAGCTCCACACGAGCCTCACCCCTCAGAAACAGCTGTCTGTGGCAGCACGCTAAGTTTGGCCAGACACATCTATCTCCAGATAAACTGGCCCAGTGTAAATTCACTTCTCAAAATCCTCAGGGATCTCCCAAGCAGGCTGTCCAAACCGATGTTTACAGAGGCCCCTCTCGTCCAAATACGCCCATCAGGAAGTCGCTATGGCAACAGAACATTATGCAAGAGTTGGACAACCAGGGTTCTGTCCCTGTGATAGAGAATAATGTGTTTCAGAGGACTGACGCAAGTACGGTCAAGTCCACTGATGTGAGGACAGAGGTATCTTGTGTGTTGACTCCCAACACCTTGGTGTCATCGCTGGACGATGGTCAGCTGAGGCAGAGGCATGTTCAGTCAGTTGAAGAGGAAACTAGTCTGGTGAAAGATGATTCCACTAAGTCGTCCGACTGTCTGGTGGACAGTACTGTCATCATCGAGCCCAGCAAACCAAGCAGTAAGTATGGGAGTCCACTATGGAGGTGCACGGGTGGCCCAGTCGTCCAAGGTGCCGCGATTCGCTGTGCAGTGTTGAGTCCCTTGGGCACCCCACAAACCTATGATTGTGGGTTCGAATCCCGGTTCGCCCCGATTATGTTTCTAGGTTTGTCAGCCCCATACCCATGCTCGTGGGTTTCAATGAAATGGTAAACGTCCGAGATCTGCATCACTTTGGACTTTCCTCCCACATTAAGCTGACACGCCGTGATATAACTGGAATACTGTTAAAAGCGGTTGATGCATGCCATCGATCCTAACTGCGTAGATTGATGCTCATGATGTCAATCACTGGATTCTCTGGGCAAGACACCATTATTTACAGACTGTTGTCATATAACTGGAATATTGCAAACATATTTACTGTTCCCTGTGGTGATTCTTTGGTAGTAGAGGTCTTCAGAAACCCATTATTGCCGTAAAAGGCGCCTACGCTTGTCGTAAAAGGTGACTAAAGGGATGGAGTGGTCAGCCTCGCTGACTTTGTTGATGCATGTTATCGTGTCTCATTTGAGTAGCTCCATGCTCATGTGGGTCACTGGATTGTCTGATCCAGACGCGATTATTCACAGACCGCTGAGTGCGGCAGTAACAACAACAAACAAAGAAACAAATGTTGTGAAACACCCCGGCACACTGTTCCAACCTGTGTAAGACTTGTTACTTTAACACACTCATGTAGATGACATTTTAGTCTTTTATGCATGAAGTAAAAGTAGTTGGGAGTTGAATATCAAGTACTTGTCCTTTTTGTGTGATATACTATTTATCATCCAAAACTGGCTCCAACAGGAGATATCGCTTGGGTGAGACCATTGTGATGTCACAATCAAATGACATCACTAATGGCTCTGCTACTGAAGCTGTTAGCAGTACTTTTTACACTTAAGACACTGCTTATAGCTGTCTACAATTGAAATAGTTGGAAGAATGATGTTGGATGATAAATAAAATCTCACCCTCGTGTCTTTTGATATCAAATATATCAACACTCATTGTTAAAAGTGGAAAAACTCCTCGGGAAGCCTTCAAGTTTTTCCACTTTTTATTCCCCGCCCAACAAAGTTGGCGGGGGATATAGAAACGGGCTCCATCCGTCCGTCCGTCCGTCCGTCCGTCCTTCCATCACATTTTGTTTCCTGAGCATAACTCATAAACCGTTCAATATTTGTTCATCAAACTTTGCAGGTCTGTCAGGTACATGCTGATCTGGTGCCTTTTGCTATTTAGAAATTTTAGAAATTTTAGACATTTCTATTTTTTTCGTTTCCATGGCAACAAGATGGACTTGGGTTCTGTGAGGGTAGGGTTTGTTTCCGGAGTATAACTCATAAACCGTTCAATATTTTTTCACCAAATTTGCAGGTCTGTCAGGTACATGCTGATCTGGTGCCCTTTGCTATTTAGAAATTTTAGAAATTTCTATTTTTTTACGTTTCCATGGCAGCAAGATGGACTTAAGTTCCAAACTCTTCTTGTTATTACAATTTCCATGACAAGTTCCACCTCGGTTAAAAAAGGTTAGGGTTTGTTTAGATTTAATTATGTCATAAATTCTGCAACAGGGGCAGGGGATATAGCCACGTTAGTGGCAAACTCTTGTTCAACTTGTGTTGATATATTTGATATCAAAAGACACTGGGATGAGATTGTCTATATGTTCTGTATGTATTTGTGATACCCTTCATACTTTCCCTTACAGACCTGAAGATGCTAGGAATCGGGGCCGTGCTGTTGGCCAGTGTGTTGGGGAATGCCGTGCTGGTGGGGTACCTGTACACCAACAGCTGAGGGATACAACAGTGGTGGCTGGTGTTGAGATGGTTGTTTCATGACAACAGACAGTCACTTATTCTCAGGGTGATTGGTTGGAATGATACCATTCTGTCGAGATTGACAGGACAGATGCCATTATAGTCATGATTGACTGACAGATGCCACTATTGGTCATGATTGACAGGACAGATGTCAATATTGGTCATGATTGCTCGCCGTGAATAGCTGTAATATTGCTGATGCGGCGTAAAGCAATATTTATTCATTCATCCTTGGTCATGATTGACTGGACTGATGCAAGTTCTTGGTAACTGACTGGACCAATGCCATTCTCGGTCATGATTGACTGACAGAAGCCAGTTTTTGTAATGATTGACTGGACTGATGCCATTCTCGGTTATGATTGACTGGACTGATGCCATTCTCGGTCATGATTGACTGAACTGATGCCATTCTCGGTCATGATTGACTGACAGAAGCCAGTTTTCGTAATGATTGACTGGACTGATGCCAGTCTCGGTCATGATTGACTGGACTGATGCCATTCTCGGTCATGATTGACTGACAGAAGCCAGTTTTCGCAATGATTGACTGGACTGATGCCATTCTCGGTCATGATTGACTGACAGATGCCACTATTGGCCATGATTGACTGACAGATGCCAATTTTCGGCATGATTGACTGGACTGATGACATTGTTGGTCATGATTGACTGACAGATGCCACTATTGGCCATGATTGACTGACAGATGCCAATTTTCGGCATGATTGACTGGACTGATGACATTGTTGGTCATGATTGGAGAGAAAGTTTCCAGTGAAGGAGCAGAGAAGACACATCAGAAGTACAGGGTACCCAATGTTTGACAATCATGACATTACCAGTGTCAGTCCTAATGACAGCCTAAAACGAAAACACACGTACTGTTTTGCTATCATGTATTATCATTTTAAACCCCCCAAATAATATCTTTTTATATAGCAGTGGTGATACATTCTTGTAACGATCTTCTGGTACAAGTGCTAGGTGTTAATAATTCCTCTTCTCTGTTTGGTAATTACCATGGTAACAGACCCTACATGGTCTTCACCTAATTAGTCATATAAGCTTGTGCTGTATTGAAGTAGGTTATTTCTTTAAATACCTATCTTTTTTTTTAAACAAATTGTTAGGAAAATATTTTTTTGATGTCAAAAGGAATTCCCTTAAAACACAGAAAAAGACTTGATAAGTCAGGTTGTATCTACATGATCTAGTCACCCCACACTGTGGGTATCACATGTTTCCATGGGAACCAAGGGCTGTGAAATACAAGAAAAAGTAATAGTTTTCCATCACTTGTTGGTGACTTCCATGTTTACCTCAAATTCTGTATTTAAGGGGCCTTTTTTATGATTTTATATGATGGCGGTCTGTAAATAATTGAGTCTGGACCAGACAATCCAGTGATTGACATCATGAGCATCGATCCACGCAATTGGGATACGAAGTCATTGTTGCCTTTTACGGCAAGCATGGGTTACTGAAGACCTATTCCATCCTGGATCTTCACAGATCCAAAATTTATGTAATTCTATTGGTATATGTCATTTGAGGGTTGAAATGTTATTTGAAAAATCCCTTTTACAATCCCAGACGTAGGTTATGCCGTCAACCAGGGTGCATTCTTGATAGCTTCAATAATTACATCAGCTCATTCACTCAGAGGAGCGGTCGGGTACCCTAGTGGTTAAAGCATTTGCTTGTCGCTCCGCAGACCCGGGTTCGATTCCCGACATGGGTACAATTTGTGAAGCCCATTTCTGGTATCCCCTGCCGTGATATTGCTGGAATATATTGCTAAAAGCGGCGTAAAACCTCCCACACTCACTCACTCACTCACTCACTCACTCACTCACTCACTCACTCACTCACTCACTCACTCACTCACTCACTCACTCACTCACTCACTCACTCACTCACTCACTCACTCACTCACTCACTCACTCACTCACTCACTCACTCACTCACTCACTCACTCACTCACTCACTCACTCACTCACTCACTCACTCACTCACTCACTCACTCACTCACTCACTCACTCACTCACTCACTCACTCACTCACTCACTCACTCACTCACTCACTCACTCACTCACTCACTCACTCACTCACTCACTCACTCACTCACTCACTCACTCACTCACTCACTCACTCACTCACTCACTCACTCACTCACTCACTCACTCACTCACTCACTCACTCACTCACTCACTCACTCACTCACTCACTCACTCACTCACTCACTCACTCACTCACTCACTCACTCACTCACTCACTCACTCACTCACTCACTCACTCACTCACTCACTCACTCACTCACTCACTCACTCACTCACTCACTCACTCACTCACTCACTCACTCAGGTGTAACAGAGGTTCTGTCCCATGAACATTCCGGGTTTTTCAGCAACCCATGATTGTATGAGGCGACTAACGGGACCAGGTTGTCAGGCTCGCTGACTTTGTTGATGCATGTCGCTAAAGATCCATGCTCATGACGCCAATCACTTGTCTCGTCCATATTGGGTTATTAACAGACCGCCATCATATAGGCAGGATATTGTTGAGTGCAGCTTGTAAGGTTCAAATTATGGTATCATAAATCACTCAGGTTTCAAATGTTTGTGAATAATATATTTTATAAAAATGAAAAATAAAAATGAATAATGTTAAATAATTTTATGATTCATTTTAGATTAAATATTTGCAAATGTTTTTAGGGAGTATTGCTGTTAGACAATAAAGTCAGAATGACAATATTTTCCTTCTTTAATTTAATCCAATTGCCACCATAATTATTTCAATGGTAATCCGTGATGTAAAGTATTTTTTTTAAAAAACACAACGGCTACAAAGTTATCGCTGTAATACATTTTGTCACAATCTACTAAATATTCAAGCGAGGTTACTTTAAACCTCCTTACCATACCTTACCCTACCTTACCATACCTTACCACACCATACCATACCTTACCATACCTTACCGTACCATACCATAACGTACCATACCATACCACACCTTACCGTACTATACCATAACATACCATACCTTACCACACCTTACCACACCTTACCCCACCTTACCGTACCATACCATAACATACCACACCTTACCACACCATACCACACCTTACCACACCTTACCACACCTTACCACACCATACCACACCATACCACACCATACCACACCTTACCATACCTTACCTCAATGGAGTGCCTGCTTGTTTAAATAAAAACTCATATCAGTTCTTTAGAATATGAGAATTGCCAAATGGTAAATGTTATATGTGTATTTAAAAGAGAACTTGCAATATCAGGGTATGTCATATTTTAATTCTGGTAGATAAAATATATTCTCTTGGAAAGAAAACGGGCATTGACTTAAGTCATCTCAGGGAGTGGGTGTTCATTGACGGGTGGATTGTCTGAGAAGTGATGAAGCATGTTAGGAATGTTGTGGTTGGGTGTCAGTGTTGTATTGTACATGTTTGTGTTTGTGTTACTTCTGTTCACCGTTTCTTTCTGTGCAGAGTTGCGTCCCTTGGGCACGCCAGAATCCTATGATTGTGGGTTCGAGTCTCCGTTCTCCCTGATTATGTTTCTAGGTTTGTCAGTAAGCACCATACCCGTGCTCGTGGGTTTCACCAAAGTGGTTAGCGTCTGCATCACTTCGGGCTTTCCTCCCACATTATGCTGACACACCGTCATATGACTGGAATACTGTTAAATGCGGTGCTAAACCCAACTCATTTACTCACTCACTCACTCACTGTTCACCATTTCTTTCAAGTCTACAGGCAGCTTTGTCCAGGGTTCTGTTCCCTGGCGCTGAGATTATCCCCACACCATATCAGTTTGCTTTGCATTATTTCTATTTTCTTTGCTTTATTGATTCCTTTATTTATAGTTATGGAATAAAGCTGAATTTTAAAATTTAGAGAATGTCCTTTCTTCCTCTTTCTTCCTGAGTCCGTTATCTTTTTATAGTCAGGAAAACTATTTGAAAGTAGTTCAATAAGGGAGGGAGAACTCTGTGACTTGACATTAAACATACACCACGCCACGCCACGCCACGCCACGCCACCACACAGCCACGCCACACAGCCACACATTCACACACAGCCACACATGCACAGCCACACAGCCACACACGCACAGCCACACACACACACACACACACCACACAGCTACAAGCACACAGCCACACAGACAGACACACACACACAGCCACACACAGACAGCCACACACACCACGCACACAGACAGACACACACACAGACAGCCAGACACAGCCACGCACACAGAGACACACACACACACACACACACACACACACACACACACACACACACACACCACATCTTTCTTCCCTTACATTTTTCTTTTCTCTCATCAATACTTGTGAGAGATCACCTTTAAAAAGATCTTTATTTTTCATATTGTTTCCCTTTTGACCAATGGCCCTTTATGGCTAAAGACGAACAATCAACTGAGTCCAAGTAATGGCATCATTAGGAAGCCCGAGATCTTAGCCTGATGCCGTATTGAATCACTCCCCATATATACCACTGAACTGAGTCTGGCCCAGACCATCCAGTGATTGATGTTATGAACAATGCTCCCCTCAACGCACCCATGATCGTTGGGTCGAATCTCATTGCATGGTGGCCTGAACATTTGAGGCACCCAATCGTTGCTGTGCTGAGTTGCCTCCCAGGAACCTAGCTGAAAGTAGATTTACTGTAGAACGAAATGGTAATACACACAATGTCTGTCTGGAATAGTAGGGATTCACAACATGTTTCAATATTGGTATGTGATTTTGTGTTAACATTGTGTGTGTGTGTTTTATGTGTTTGTGTATGTATGGACAAGGCAATTGTATATTTATATATGCATGTGTGTGTGTGTTTGAAGTGTATGTGGTTGTTTGTATTGACAAGGCAATTGTATGATAAATGGTTAAGTGATTTGTCCAATTCGTCAATATTTTCTGACTTGTAGGAATAAAGAAAAAATATCTGATGTATTAGAAAAAAAAGGTGTTTTGGTCCAACAAAAGTTTTATGTATTTTTTATATTTGATGATTTGTTAGTCCTAAAATAAATGGCAACCTAATCACTGTTTCTTGTTCTTGTTGGATCGCCTAATTGTTCTAGTGGTAGGGCGTCCCCGGAGAGCGGAAGGTCCGCCTCATACCAAAAGACTTTAAAAGATTGTACCTGTTTGCATTAAGGGGCTAAAGCAAGGACTGGTCGGCTCGGGGGCAGTATGTAGTGGGGTATTCATGTTGAACTGCAGCATGGTATCTCAGAAGGCTAGCACTATAAATCGGCATCAGTCCGTACAAGCGCACGCAAGCACGCGCACGCACGCACGCACACGCACGCACGCACACACGTGCATGCACGTCTCTATATAAGTGCAATAATCTTGGACGCGATGTTGAACCCAATTTCACCTTCTTGTTCTGGATGATTACATGCTTGAACTGTTGGCAATACACGTCACCAGTTATGGCAGACTTGTTTTTCAGGGTTTAAGGGTTAGACCAACTTTGTGTAAAAGTCACAATCTATTATAATTATGCAGCTCTACTAGGCCAAAACGGAACAGTAACAGTGAAGACAAGAAATTTTATGGGTGACATCTTCTTTATTCCATTATTCTTTGTTTATTTGTTGTTTAACGCCACACTCAGCAATATTCCAGTTACATGTCTGCGGTCTGTAAATAAACGAGTCTGGACCAGACAATCCAGTGATTGACGCCATGCACAGCAATCACGCAATTGGGATCGAAGACATTCATCAACCAAGTCAGCGAGCCTGACCACCCGATCCCGTTAGTCACCTCTTACGACAACATAGTCGCCGTTTACGTTTTGGTTTGGTTTGTTGTTTAACGCCGCACTCAGCAATATTCCAGCTATATGACGGCGGTCTTTAAATAATCAGTGTTGACCAGACAATCCAATGATTGATGTCATGAGCATCTATCCACGCGATGGGGATACGATGACATGCATCAATCAACTCAGCGAGCCTAACCACACGATCCCGTTAGTCGCCTCTTACGACAAGCATAGTCGCCTTTTACGGCAAGCATGGGTTGCTGAAGACCTATTCTACCCCGGATCTTCACGGGTATATATTTTATGATCCACTCTTGCTTGACAATGGTAAAGTGATCTTTATCATACCTCCATGTCAGAATGATGAGATCTGATTGGTCCACGTGATCTTGATTAAACACTTTGTATACTGCCTTTGAGGGAAATAAATTTCTCAACGGGTAAATATAGCCCTTATACCCCGCCACGAGGAAGTCAGGCTTCACTTGGATTTCAGTATCGTTGTCTCCCTTTGTTCGTCCCATCACTGGACACCCAGCCAGTCCAATCTGTGCATGTGGCCAATCAACAAAGTACTGAGCAGCGGGAAAAAGTTACTGTGCTTCATATACAGTGATGAAAACATTGTGATTAAAAAAAACAACGTAATGTTTGATCATTCGTCGAACGAATGTTTTATCATAACAAATTCAGGGGGCACAGGTGCCCCAGTTGTCTAAGGCGCCGCGATTCGCTGTGCACGCCAGAAACCTATGATTGTGGGTTCGAATCCCGGTTCTCCCCGATAATGTTTCTAGGTTTGTCAGCACCATACCCGTGCACGTGGGTTTCACCGAAGTGGTAAATGTATAAGACCTGCATCACCTGCCGTGATATAACTGGATACTGTCTGAAGCGGCATTAACCCCAACTCACTCACTCATAACAAATTCTTTGACA